TAGTGATGAATGGATTTCTAAGCTTATTTTTAAAGATATTTTGGAGTTCTCTGTGAAACCTCGAGCTTCCGTCAGTCTGTCGTCACCTCTGCTGCCTCGGTGCCTCCATCAGCTTCGTGTGTCTGTTTTTCTTTTTGTCGTCATGGTGACTGAAAGGTGGCTTTCCTTCTGTCTCTCATCTGTCCGCGTGCGCTCGTCAACATGCACGGCTCTGCACTTCCTGTTTCCTGGTCATGGACAAACCATCCCTTGGTACAAGATTTGACTAATTTGTTTGGCACACAGATGCTTTTGTGTTTGATCCATGTCAAGGAAAATGCCCTTAGTCGTCATTCACAATCTTCAAGATGAAAATGGAGCTGCTTCATGTCGCTGACATTAAGGGATCATAGATGCTGTTAAGAAGAAGAGCCTCTGTACTTCCACCCGTCTCTTAGAGGGACAGTCCACCTCAAAGACAGAGGCACACGTTCTTCCTCTGACCTGTGGTGCTCTTTATTCATCTCCACTGTTTTGATGCTTTGGATATATTGATGATTAAATGTGCTTCTAGAAGCAGTTATGCAGGCAGTGATCCTCTGATTTAATCGACTGTTCCCACACGTCTCCTGCGCTGATCGAGGTTCTCATCCCTTGTAAACAGACACAAGCCCTCAGTAACTTTCCAGTCATCTTTTTCGGCCTCTCTGGCATTCACACCTGCCAGAGAGCGTTAACATTAACGCTCCACTTCAAAGTTCAAAGTTTTACTAGCAGCAGCTAACTGCGGCAGGAGACAGAGACAAGTTTCACATGTCCTTTATATCGACTCGTATCGGACTACTTTCACACAAGTTTTATACCCTCCTCCAGAGTTAATAGATGTGGACACATATCGACAGCTGAGGCTGACTGACAGCCTACACTCACTACAGATGATCAGCAGACAGAGCTGTTTGTCCTACAGTGGCCACTGTAGCTAGAATTACGCACTGAACATGTCAGGGGTAAGAAAACAGAACTCAGTTTCTGAAGCGTACTGACATCTAGTGGTGAGTTTTTACAAACTGTAACTTTAAAGTTTTTCTTAAGAAATTTATTACAAGACAAACAAAAAGTAACACAGCACAGTCTGATCTAAACACCAGTGTTCTTCAAACCTCGAGTGGATTAACTGACCACCAAAGTAAAATGGGGACAACTATTAGTTTGTAGGGAAAGAAAAATATTTATAACATTAAATTCCAATTGCATACAAGAAAATCCTGCTTTGAAGATCCTGGATAAACATGATGTAATGGATGAAAGTACCTCTGTGTTTGGGGATATAAAAAACCAAAAAGCCCAAACAGGTCTGGAGTCATTACTGCTGAGTTTTCCAAATGTGTTTTTGGTGCTTGGAGCACCTCAGGGCGATTTAGTGTTGGGGCCGACGCCTCTACAGCTCCAGGTAAATATGGATAACACGCTCTACAGGCCAGAGGAAAAACATGTGAATCTGATTTAGCAATGAACTCTCCCTGTAAGTGACGATCCCCTGACGATGTTGCCTACATCCTGTCTAAAATGCCCATTGGACTTGTCTCGTGCTGCAGCATGCTGGAGTACGACAGCGAGAACCTGAACTCCGAGGAGATCTACAGCTCGCTGCGCGGTGTCACCGAGGCCATCCAGAACTTCAGCTTCCGCAGCCAGGAGGACCTGGTGGAACCGCTGAGGCGGGACGGGAAGAAGGATGGCGTTATGGTGAGGAGTTACAGGGAGGAACCAGAGGGCAGATAACTGAAATAACTGTTAAACATATTCAAATACAGATGATTTTTTTTTGGGTTGTTTTTTTTTTTTTGGTCAAAAAGAAAGAAAAAAAAAGATTATTTTATTTTGGAGTAAAGACTCAGAATAACTCATCTGCTCTGGTGTCACTGAATCTTAGACTGGAGGCGGGGCTTCCTCGGACTCCGAACCTCGTCCCAGCGGTGATGCAGTGGAGGGCGGGCGCACTGCCCTGGACAACAAGACCTCTCTGCTGAACACGCCGTCTCCTCGATCCTTCGCCGGCCCGCGCTTCAGAGAGTACAACCCATACAACTACACGGACGGCATCAGTACGATGGATAAAGCTGCGCTGAAGGAGGCGCTGTACGAGGACGCTGTGGAGCAGCTGCGAGAAGGTGGGACCTTAGGACAAAAGCTGTGCAGGAGTGTGTGTCCTGCTGCGTCGGTAAAGATTCAGTTTTTCTGTCTTTCCCGTCCCACTCTGCAGGCCGCCGGCAGGAAAGTGTGGAAAACAAGATCCTGAACCCCAAAGGTTTCCCAGGTAAACTCACCAGAAAACCTCAGAGGTGAACAAATTATTTATTTGATCTTTGTTCTCACTTTTTTTTAAAAACTACCTCTTTCCCCTCCACCTACAGCCGGGGCTGCTGAGCAGCTGGAGCTGGTCGGAGAGCTGCTGAAGGAGCTCTCCCAGGGCCAGGCAGGGGAGCGGGGCCCTGAGGAGCGCCGGGGGACCCTGCTGGAGATGCTGAAGGTGGCCCGGGAGGACAGCTTGGTGGTGTGGGAAGAGCACTTTAAGACCATGCTGCTGCTCCTGCTCGAAACGCTGGGAGACAAAGACGTGAGGACGCGAGGCTTCCGTTGTTTTTGATTTTTTTTCCCCACTGCTGTAAATGTCCTGTGAGTGACTCGTTTCCTCTCGCTGTCCCAGCACACAATCCGGGCACTCGCCCTGCGAGTCCTAAAGGAGATTCTGAGGAACCAGCCCGCCCGCTTCAAGAACTACGCCGAGCTCACCATCATGAAGATGCTGGAGGCCCACAAAGACTCGCACAAGGAGGTGAGGATGAAAAAGAAACCAGAGGCCACTCCTCCGGTCTTCCTGTGATTCTGACCCTCATGGCGCTCCTTTCTTCTTTTGAAGGTGGTGCGGGCGGCCGAGGAGGCGGCCTCCACGCTGGCGGGCTCCATCCACCCCGAGCAGTGCATCAAGGTGCTCTGCCCCATCGTGCAGACGGCCGACTACCCCATCAACCTGGCCGCCATCAAGATGCAGACGAGAGCCATCGAACGCATCACCAGAGAGCCGCTGCACCAGCTGCTGCCCGACATCATCCCCGGACTCCTGCAGGTTTTTCATTCTTTAAATTTGTAGATGCTTTAACTGCTCATAAACACGCAAGATTAGCTCATGTTACGGACTTGTATCCACCATTTGGGCTCAGGATGCAGGCTGTGTGAACTGAAATGTATTTAATGTTTGAGTAAATGAAAACACTTAAAAATGGTTAAACTGTGTTATTACAAACACAAGAATACAATATGGTTAAAATCCAGAGACTTGTACAGGTAAGATAACCGTGCAGCACACGAATAGACCGAGACTGCCTTTAGACAGTTTTTTATACTGAAATAAAACTAGTGTCAGTAGCACTCGTGTGTTTCATGTTGTACCTGAAAAGACTGAATTTAGACACATATTGAAATATCTTTTTAATTTCCTCTGCCGTATGATCAGCTTTATCCCAGAAATTATTCACACAGTCATCGGTGAGATAAACTCTTTTTTGTTTCAATTGTGTTGATATCAGTCTCTCCTTCTGCTGTTTCAGGGCTACGACAACACTGAGAGCAGCGTGAGGAAGGCCAGCGTCTTCTGCCTGGTGGCCATCTACTCTGTGATCGGAGAGGAGCTGAAGCCTTACCTGGCTCAGCTGACCGGCAGCAAGGTATTTCAGACCACACAGCTGAAACGGCATCCTACACGTAGAGACGATTCACCGCAGAAATATTACGTCTTTAAAAGTACAGTGAAAGGGCTTTTGCAATCGTGCAGTTTGCCTGTTTTTCCCCTCTTTTAAATTCACTATTTTTGTGAGTAAAATTTTTTTTGTAAGTTTGACAAAAGTTTTTAATTTTTACATTTTTTCTTAATAATATTCAATTTTTGACAGATATTTGCTCTTTTTTCATAATTTTGACAATTTTTTCTAGTAAATCTTTCTCACAAATTTATCAACAATCTTCTCATAAATTTCTCTGTTTAACAGTATTTTTCTTGCATTTTTATATTTTTTTCTCATAAATTTCCCAGTGTTTTTTTTTCTTAATTGTGAACTAACCTAAACTGTGTTTACCTGTTTGAATGTTGTCATATAAATCAAGTTTTGTTACAACAACTTAACTTTAGTATAGTGTTTAAAGAGCAGTTTTAGATTATCTGCAGAGCTCTTGGAGTCCTCTGACCGCGCCGCTGTTTTCCTCCTGCAGATGAAGCTGCTGAACCTGTACATCAAGCGGGCGCAGACCTCCACCAGCAACAGCAGCAGCTCCTCCGACATCTCCTCCTACTAACTCCTGCAGCTTCCATCCTCGCAGACACGCTTATAAACGGTTTCATTCCATCAGCCGGTGATCGACCTGAGGGGCGACGTCACCACCAGTGGGATCATCATCAGTTTCTTTGTAGGACCAGGTGCCTGGCACCTCATCTTCTTGACCAGCTTCTGTTTCCCAAACCATCTTCCATCTCATTCCTTCAGCTGCTGATGGAGCTGAAGTCCCTGAGGAGCTCATGCTGTCACCGCTCCAGTTTCATGTCCATCATCCATAAAGTTCAGCTCGTTTTTTGGAGGTAGGGTGACCCTGGCTTTTGAGACGTTTCATGAAGATCCACCACTAGATGCATTAGCCTTAAGACTTCATCTTCCATCTTCCAGTATGGAAATGATCAATTTTTAAAGGCCGTGTGCCTGAAACCAAGATCTCCTCTTCCTCATCTCATCATCGTCATCTTTAATCTCCTGGATGTGAGGTGCAGTTTGAAGCCGAGGAGATCGTGGAACCATGAAGGACCTGAAGAGGAGAGTTTTTGCAGTGTAGCTTCCTCCTTCTGTCAGTATTTTTATTCCTTTTTAGTACCTTTAATCCACTTCCTGGACACTGTTTTGCTTTGACACATCAAACCTTTTATTGAATGTAAAGAGCTTTGAGTGAGCGCGAGTCTCCTTCGTGAACTACTGCCTCATCGATGGGACGTTTTCCAGTTTTTAACATTTGAATGAGTTGTTACAGAAAGTAGCACTACGGTCTTTAAAAGGCTGAATCCCAGAGATAATCGAAAGATCAACGCAAGCTTTATTTTGAAAATGGGCTCATGCCTCTGTGAGTGCGATGGGAGAATCGACGGGGTTGCACTCAGTCCTGGAATAATCTATTTCAAAAGATGTGAAGCTCGTCTCAGTTTACAGTGATTGATCATTTGGCTGGCCAATGATTTTAAGCACTACAGATCAGCAAAGTTTTATTGTTCTGGGCCCGAGAACCAGCAGAAAACAGCAGTGTTTATATTTAAAAGTCATTTTTTAAGGTGTGAAAAAGAAGGAACAAATTATTTCTGTTTTTGTGGCACTCATCAGTTAGATTTCCATTTAATAGTCAAGGCTAAATATTTCACCTCACAGATCACAGTTTTCTACCTGAATTGGAAAAAAAATGTCAAATTGAAACGGCCGTGTTTTTAGATGAAGAACTTGTGACTGAGAGTTATTTTGAAATCACAGGTTTGCTTTAGTTAGCTGTCTAAATGAGCTGTTGGAGATGAGGTGGAGGTTTGAAAGAGACAGACCACACACACAGATTTAATATTCAGTGTTGGAAATTAGATTTGTCCTACATGCGCGTGAACAGCACTTTCTTGTATACGGGACTTTCACAATAAAAGCTTTAGCAGCAGCAGGGTAAATTTCAGCTGATTAAACAGCTTACAGAAGCATGTTGAAGAGCTGATCGTAGGATTTAAGTAAGCTTAACTTTAGTTTAGGAAGTTTTGAAATTT